AAACAGGCTGGCCAATCACCGCCCGGCAGGAGCCGCGATTGCCTCGCCGCGGGGCGAGTGTTGGACCGACCGTGAGTAACTGTGTGCGCGCGCGGGTGTGCGCGTGTGTGCGCGCGTGTGTGTATGTCTGAGCGAGTGCATAGGGGGCGTGAAGACCCCGGGGCTTCCGAGAAACCGCAAGAAGCTGGGCCATTTTTTTTAAAGATCCCGGGTGTGAGGGCTGTAAAATTGTAGCATATTTTCATATTTACAGCTAAGGAAATAGGCTTTCAATGCCAGATGGAGTGCAGCAGAACTCCGCTTTCCAGGCTCAGTCTCAGAATGCAGGGAAATGCTACCTCCCCACCCCCGTGGCCCTGCCCCCAACGCGCCCGATGTCACTCCCTGTGTCACGCAGAGTGACAGCGGGTCTCCACCGTCCCGCTCCCCCGGAGGCCCGAGCCTTAGTAGGGGGGCGGGAGCCACTGCCCCTGGCCGCGGAGGTGCTGCCGGCAGGCCCCGTCTCTCTTTGAGCCTCCGTGTCTACGACGACTGTAAACCGGTGGGGAGTCCCCTATTTCCGCAGCAGGGAGCGCCGAGACAAAAGTGCACCCCGGCCCACGCTGCCGCCCTCAGAGCTGTGTCCGCTCAGGAGTAACCTTGTGACCCGCCTCCACAGGGAGCGGGTGACAGCAGAGACACCAGGTCACAGCGCAGGAGGAGCTGGCTTCCCGGGACGCGGTTATCAAGGAGAGATACAGGCAGCCTCTCTGTGCCAGCCCGGGGCCGGTGTCCATCGGAGTGTCGCCCATGGGAGTGCCGCCTGGCCTTCTACCTCACTTCAATTTTCCGAACAACCACAGAGGAGGGAGCATCACCCCCATTTCCCAGAGGGTAAAACAGAGGCGAGGCGAGGTGAGGAGAGACTACCCCACATGGTAAGTGGCTCTGGCTGGGCTGGAATTCCTACAATCTAGGCCTAGGGCCCTTCTGGTTCCAATGCCGCGAATCCGATGGGAGAGCCGAGCAGAGCAGCAGGGCCCGTAAACCCAGGTGGGCTGAGGCCTAGGGGGACCCTGCCGGCCTCTGACTGCTGAGACAAAATAGTGTGCATCCCCGGTGCCTCTTCTGGCATGACTGCCCGGAACCAGCCATCCCTTGGCCGCCCCCTCACCAGCCTGCGCCTTCCTCCCCATGGCGGCAGGGAAGGACCTCTGGTGCCCAGTGGCTGCTTGACCTCGACCTCAGGTGGGAGGGGGGCTTTTCTGCAGACTCAAGGACCAGATGCTCGACCCATATCCTCTGGCCCTCACATCCTGCCCCCGGAGGGGCAAAGATGATCAATGACAGAGACTCACCCGGTTGTTTCACTCCAGCCTGGAGGCAGACACAGAGATGGGGGCTCTTCCCACCACTGTATAAATGAGGAAGGGGAGCCAAAGTGGGGTGTGCTGGGGTCTTAGGGAACAGCTGTGGTCTCCCAAGTACTGCTGCCTGGGGTTGCCCAGGGTCAGAGAGACTCCAAGGGGCAGAGGTACCCAGCCAGAGAGGGCCTGGGCCAAGGGAAGAAATGACCATCCGGTGGGTTTGGAAGAGAAGCACTGGCCCCAGGCTAATTACAGCACCTAATCTGAGCGTGCTTCTGATAGAAGGGGAGACAGGCCAGAGGGGAACCCGGATAAAAAAGTAAGGGCTGTGGGGACGGGTGCCTTCGAGATAACCACCTACTTTACACAGGTGGCCCTCATCATGTTTCTTTAATCACAAGCCTGACAGCTTGGTGCCGTCACTCCCATTTTTCCTGAGCATCTTCAGAGTGGGGCATCCTCAGAGTCTGGGTTCTAATTCTCCCTGCTCCGGGGTTGTGTGACCCTGGGCCGGGCGCCTCACCTCTCCCATCCTGTTTCCTCTCCTGTAAACCGTGGGTAGTAAGCGCCCCTGCCCGCGCCAGGATGTTGGGAGTGGAGGCCGGCGCGGCCAGGCCGGCGGCCCGGGCCCGGGGTGCTCGCCGGTGTCTCTCCGCTGCCTCTGGAGGACGCGCGGGGGATGGGGGGCGAGGGGATGGTGTGGTCCCGCGCGGAGAAGAGTGGGCCTTCAGAGGGTTGCGGAGAGCGTGTCCCTCGCCGCCGGGCAGCGGGCAGCGGCCGGCGCGCCCCACGCTGGGCCCGCGCACTGCCGGCCCCGCGATGCTGCCGACTGTGGCGGCGGAGTCCCGGCGCGGCGCGGAGGTTGGTGAGCCGGCACATGGTCGCAGGGTCGGTGAAGAGGTGTGAGTTGGCCGCACTGGGGCTCTCCCAGGCCTCGGCCTCTGCTCCCTGCCGGTCCCGGAGCCCGAGCGCAGCCCCGCGTCGAGGTGAGCCGGGAGGCCGAGCTCGGAGACAAGCTGGTCAGCAGAGGCGCGCGCGGGGTCGCCGCCTCGGAGGCTTTGCGCGTTCAGGCTCGGCCGGCGGCTCCGAGCCGCCGCTGTTCTCAACCCCAGCACAGTCTCAGCGGTCGGAACACTCGTTGAGACCGACCTCACATCGCCGCGGCCCTGAGCGGTTTCTGGCGTTTCCAGGGCCAGAGCCCAGGTTTCTCGTCACCTTTGGGCCCCGGGGAAGAATTCTGAGGCTGAAGGACTCCAGAGGCAGAAAAGTGGAGCTTCCAAGTCACCATCTGGGTCTCCACCTTTATGAAGCCCCCCACGCCCCCCAAGCCACCGATCCTTCCTTCCTCCTTCTCTGTCCAGCGTGCCCCTCCTCATCCTCCCTCTGTTCCATCTCTCCCCTGTGCAGGCCCCCAGCCAACGCTCTTCTCAGCAGTGGGCAGGGACTGCACCTCATCACCTGTGTCCCCAGTGCCTAGCTCAGGGCTGGCAGCCAAAGATGCCCCATAAACCAGAGGGAATGAGTTAGGGGAACAATTCCAGGAGCCCATAGATCAGGAGTCGGCAAACCGCAGCTGGCCTCCACTTGTTTTGTTTTAATAAATTTTCCCTTTTGGAATACTTTTAGAGAATGTCCATTTTTTAAATTTAAGTTCATCTTATTTTTGCTTCCTTCATCCCTCATCCCAACTCCATCTGTTCTTACCTCACCCTCATGCCACCCATGCCCCTGCTCTTGTATATTAATTTACAAAACAGTATTACGTCATGCACCTGCTCTCTCTCTCATCTTCTCATCTTAAAGTATAAATTTGAGATCTCTCCCTGCTGATAAATGTAGCAATGATTTTTTTAACCACTATGTACAAACCCAACATTCACATGCACCACTGTTCCAGTTACTACGGCTGCAGCACACATTTCTCCCAAACTTAGCAGTGTAAAGCAGCCATTTATTAGTTTGCTCATGGGGTCTGAGGATTGGGGAGGGCTTGTCTCCGGTGCATGATGGCTGGGCGGGGGGTGGGGGAGTGGGGGGGCAGGACTCATCTGAAGGTGTAGTTGCTCATCTACCTGGGGGCTGATGCCGGCTGTCAGCTGAGGGACCCCTACCTGGGGCCCCTCCATGTGACCTGGGCTTCCTCACAACGTGGGTTCCCGGAACAAGTGTGGAGGAGTGTGTGTGTGTTTGTGTGTGTGTGTGTGTGTGTGAGAGAGAGAGAGAGAGAGAGAGAGGGAGAGGAGAGAGGGAGGAGGGAGAGGTGGACCTGAGCCTGGGCATTCAGGGCATTATTTCCGCTGTTCTCTGCTGACTGGAGCAGTTGTGGCTCCCATCCGGGCTCAGGGGAGGAGACTTGGACCCAGCTCTCATAAGAGGACGGTCAGATTGTAGGATGAGAAATCCTCTGTTTTATCGGGAAAAGACGTGCCACAAGGAGAGCGGACTCCTCTACCGGGGGCCTGTTAGGTTGCTGCCTGCTCTCCACTATTGCAAATAATTCTTTAAGAGCCTGGAAACCGCCTGGGGGTGTGTGCCGCCTGAACGGGGCTCCTGGGGTGAAGGGTCTCTACAGACCCAGCATCACTAAGCGCTTCAGAAAGATTCTGCATAAGAGTTGTCAGTTCCCATTTCCTTGCATCTTCGCCAGCACTTGGTTTTACCTGACTTTTGTCTGTGACACTGTGACGTGTGTGAGGGGAAGTTGGTTGTTTCGGGTAACGATTCTCTGGTCGCCTGTAGAGTGAGGGAGGTGCGTGACGGAGGTGGGGAGAGGAAGGGGCGAGCGTGTTCAGACGCTGGAGGGTATCACATGTGCGACAGCTGCTGGGAAGGAGAGAACAAGGATGGGTTACGAAGGCCTGTGCACAGCAAACTCAGGAGTACGGTTCTGATCTGCAAAGCAGCAGGGGGCCACTGAAGGCTGTGGAGCTGGGGAGGTGACGGGATTAAAGCTTGTCCTCAGCAGTAGTTACCTGAGAGCGGCAGCTCAATAGCTCCTGCAGGGTGGATGAGAGGTGAGGAAGTGCAAAGGAGGCTCTTGCCGAGGTCCTGGTCCGAGTGATAGCAGTGAAGCCCCAGGGGGCCAGTGCCGTGCCGAGGGGCCACGTCTCAGGCATCCGTGGCAGTCGGTGTGGAGAGGAGCGATGCTGCGGGAGCCCTGAGCTGCGGAAGCTGGCAGTGCCTTCTCGTCTTCTAGCCCCTCCTGGCTCACGCCTGGGGCGGGGCAGGAGAGCCTCGTACATTCTTATTGGCTAGGCAAATGGTCCGCCACCCACAGCACAGCCAGGTGACGGCCTTGCAGCTGTCCAGGGGTGCAGTCGGGCACCCGGTTCCTACTGTCAGCTCAGCCGCTGAGCCCTCACTCCCATGTGGGGCCTCAGTGTCGGCGGCTGTAAAGGGGGAACAGTACATCCCCCGCGCTGGCTGCTGTGGGGCTGAGTGGGGACAATGGGGCAGGCGAGTCTTTGGCATATATAAACTGTTTGCTTTGAAAAAGGCCAAATGCTTGAAAATTATTTTGGCTGCCTTTTGAGGGTCGAGCATCTTCCTTCCTTGTGGAAGTCTCCCTTTAAACACTGGAAAGAGGAGGATTATTTTCATAACGTGTGAGGTGGCCGCTTCCCAGAGTTCCACCCCCCCCCCCCAGGGAGGTGAGGAGGGAGGAGGGGGCGGGGGAGGGGACAAGACGAGAGAGGAGAACAGGGGCGGGAGAGAAGGGGAAAGGAAGGGGGCCAGGAGGAAGGAGAGGAGAGGGGGAATACGGAGGAGGGAAAGGAGACGGGAGCAGTGCGATGGCGTCCGCGGCATTCCCGGCACGCTGGAGCAGGAGCGGAGCCGGCTCTGGGTCGCGGTCTCTGCCTCCCGGTCCTCAAGGCTCTGGGCTGAGGCTGCGTGTATGGCGTCACCCCAGCCCCGCTCCCGAGGTGACTCCAGCGGAGAAGCCCCCTACCCCGCGGGAGCGCCTGGAAAGGTCCCAGTACTTCCCACTTATGCCGGGGAGGCTGGGGCAGACGAGAAGATCCCCTCCGCTGGCCTGACAAAGCCGCCGGGAGCTGGAAGCTGTGCCAAGGAGGCTGCTTCGCTCCAATGCAGGGCCGTGGCCAGGAGTGCCTGGAGCTGTTCCCGGCCCTCTGCTCACCCCACCCAGGCTGGGGGCAGGCGCCGCCTCATCCCCGTGCCCCCCAGGGCGGGTGCTCAGCTGACCTTGGCCTCACCAGGGGCTCTCATTGATGGAGGGACCCCGCCCTTCTCTACAGCAGATTCTTCCCTCAACATTTTATCTTGAAAACTTTAAAACACACAAAAATTGAAAGAACCGGCCTAAGCACACACACACCCACCGTCTAGATTCTTCTATTAGCTTCTGTCATGCTGCTTTCCTTGCTCCATCACACCCGCCATCTATCATCCCTCCATCCGTCCGGCTGTCTGTTTCCAGTGCATTTCACAGCAAGTGGCAGGCCTCAGGACCGTCACCATAAAAAGACAGAGATGGGTGAATCTGGGTCCCAGCTCTGCCACGGACCCCAAGCGCCCCCTCCTCCTCTGGGAACGGGCACAATAAGGCTCCTGTGCTGGTGGCTGTGACGGGAGACGCTGCACGAAAAACTCATACTCTGCTGGAAAAAACCGCTCCATGCGTGGACGCTCTCCTGATTGTTTTTAAAGTGTGACGATGCAATCGTGGACTTGATGTCCCCATGGGACGTGTGCTGGCTCTGCACGTAGTCACACCTCACTGATGCCGATGACGCCGTTTTCCTGTCTCGATAAAGATATACGAGCTCCTGGCCACTGGGCTCAGGGGCGAGGGAATGTCTGGTTTTAATATGAAGAGCACCTCGGGGTGGGAGCAGGTTTTGGTTTCCACAATGGAGCCCAGATTTGTGCGCAGTTATCCAAACCATCGGGAACCTTCACACGGCTCGGCTGCCATGACCTTGATTGGAAATGACTTGGGGTTGGAGAAATGAGGCTGGAACAAAGGGCTGGGCGCCCACGGTGCAGGGAACCTCTTCCCAGGAGCCAGAGGGAAATTGCTGGAAACGTCGCCTGGCCGGCGGGAACCCCGCCAGTCTGGCCAGGCTCATCCCTCCTGGTCTTGGGATGGATGCCTGTGGCCTGGGGGGCGTGTTTGTGGGGGCTGCTCAGGGTGCTGGCAGGAATGTTTGGCACGAGAATTACACGGCTGGGTTATCCCTTCCATGGGCAGGGCGCTGTGGGGGCCTGGAGACCAGAGGAAGCCCCCCTCCTCACCCTTTCCCCTCCTCGCCCTTGCCCCTCAGAAGTAGCCCAGTCGGGAGGGAGGCCAGCAGGTTTAGCAAGCACTTCCTGAGCCCACGGCTTCACACCCGTGATCTCATCGATGCTCCCAGAGCCTTTCGAGGACTCGGGAAGATGACGTGAGGTGACTCACTGAACAGGACTTGTGGCTGCAGAAACGGAAACACCCCACGTGCAAACCCCACGTGTAGGGAGTGGGTTATGCAAATAGTGATTCATCTCCACACTGCCACGCTGCACAGCTGGGGAGAGAATGGGATGCTCTTGATATGGGACCCCCCCTGGGTCGATTGAAAGAAGCAAGCAAATGAGGATACAGGATGCACGTAACGGGGGATACACACAGACATTAGCGCCATACATGGTTACATTGGCTTACAGCTGTTTGTGTGTCCATCTGTGATGCGCTTAATTGTGTCCCCCAAAATTCATATGTTGAAGTCCTAACGCCCAGTCCCTCAGAATGTGACCTTATTTGGAAATAGGGTCCTTGTAGATGTAAGTAGTTAAGATGAGGTCATTGGGGGGGCCCTAATCCAATCTGACCAGCATCCTTTTGGACGCCCTGTGCAGAGACAGGCAGCGCAGGGCGGAGGCTGGCAGGGCTGAGGAGGTGCTGCCATGGGACCCGGCGGGAGTGGAGCTGACGACGGGCTGCCAGGAGAGAGGCCTGGAACCCAGCCTCCCCCCGGTCCCCTCAGGGAGCCCGGCCCTGCTCACCTCTTGATCTCGGACTTCTGGCCTCCAGACTCTGAGGGGATCCCTTTCTGCTGCTCCGAGCCCCCGCGAGTGGTGCTTTGGTCCTGGCAGCCTCAGTGGGAGGAGGCGGGGGCAGGGAGGTGCTCTCTCGGGGGCAGAACTGGGCCCCTGAGGCCATGGGGGGGCAGCTTCCTGTCCACACTGTTCCCACTTTTGCGCTGTTTGCGTTTTGCACCAGGTGCAAGCATTACTTAATTTAACTAAATGAAATGGAAAAAGCTAAAAGTCCCCAAAGTGAGACCCTGGGAGGGAGGAATCGTTGAGGGAGCTTGGCAGAGAAGCTCACGGAGGCCGGGGGACGCCGAGGCCACCGTGCTGTGGAATGAGAGCACAGGCTGTGGGGGAGAGGCCGGGGGGTCCTCCCGGGCTCAGAGGAGCAGGTGGGCCAGGCGGAGAGCAGCAAGAGTGGAGGGGCTGGTGGGCTCAGGAGCCATCAGCTGGCCCACAGACGGCCTGACCCACTGAAGTGCGGACCGTGGGGCAGCCCCCAAGGCCAGCAAGAGGTCCTGGTGCTGCCTTCCTCACCAGGGCGGCAGGGAGGGCTGGGCTCTGCAGCAAGCCCACCGGGCGGCCACTTGACCACTCTGAGCTCCAGCTTCCTCATCCCATGGGGGAATAAACGGCCCTCACGCTAGTGAAAGAGACGGGTCATGGGTCACGGCAGCAACGGGTGTCATCCGAGGGCACCCCCTGGCCCAGGGGAGGTGCCCGCCCAGCTCTGCTGGCCCTTTAGCTCTCTGCCTTCACCCCAGCCCTTTATTCCACAATGAAATAGCTTTTTATATTATATAAATAATACATGTTCAACACAAAGAATTTGGAAAATAAATGATGGTATAAAGGAAATAATACAGGCCCTCTGGAAACCCAGCACCCCAAGACCCCACGCTAACATTCTGGGTCAGTCCCTCCCCACATCTCTCTAAGCAGACACAGGCTGGAGCACATGATACCCCACACCCCCACACTCACTCATATGCACAGACCCCCGACCACACTCACCCACACATCCCACAGGCAAACACCCCTCACACACGTTCACACCCCCACACAGACCCACACCCCCATTCCACACACACCTATACACAAACCCACACCCCACATACACATGTGTATATACCCATACACGTTACATTACACACGTGCAACACACACACACCTGCACACATGCACACACACTCACATCTCCCGTACGCCCCCCACACATGGACCCATATCCCCCCCACAAACACATGCCCACCCGTGTCTATACACACACCCATATACACACCTTCCCCATACACCCCTCACACACATCCATACCCCCACACACACATACACTCATATGAACACACACCCACCCACACAGCCCCCGCACACCCCACACACATGTGCACATGCACAATCACACCCGGTGCCCCCACACTCACATATCGTCCCACGCACAGAGATGGGCGCCCACACGTCCCCTTGCACAACGGCACACCTGTGGATCATTCTTGTCACAGACCCCCCATCAGTATCCACCCACTTCCACCCTGTCCCCCCGAAAAACCCATGTAGCCCACCTAATGTGTATCTTTACATATTTTTCTCCAAACTCATTCACTCTTCCCCGGACCTCGGTAAACACAGACAGACAGCGCTACAATGTCCACTAAACAGGATCCGGAGTCCCTGCTCCATGCAGCGTCCATCCTGCTCCTAGGTGCGTTCCCCTGCCTCCTTTCCCACCCACACAGGCGCACGGGCGCGCTCTCAGTCTCCCTGTCCCGTGGCCACGTCCATTTCCATGGGGGATGTGGCAACGTTTCCACCGTGCCCTATTACTGGCTTTTACTTGGTCTCCAGTTTCTGGTTCCTGCGAATAATGCCGTGTGTGTGTCCCCTCAAAGGGAACCTGTAACTTGCTCCTGAGGAGCTGCTCCTGGTTCTATGGGAGGGGTTCCCGGAGTGAGACTGATGGGCGGAACAGAGTGTGAGCGTGTGTGTGTGTGTGTGTGTGTGTGTGTGTGTGTGTGTGATAGGTTCTTCCAGATTGCCTTTCCAAAAGCCGTAGCCCTTCACACCTGCCCCAGCATTGTCCAAGGACGCCTTTCCCCCACACCTCTGCCAATAGGCAGCATAGCTGCTTTTAATTTTTTTGCCAGACTAATGGGTGTAAAGTGGCATTTACTCTAAGTCAAGGGACGGCCGGGGAGGTTGCAGTGACCGTCCCACTGGCATCCCTCCTTCGGTCGCCCTGCCCCCGCCCCACTGTGGGCAGGTAGACAGCATTGGGGAGGGAGCACTGCACTTGGAGTCCAGGGGGCGTGGCCTGGCGGTGCACTGCTGGGACGCAGGCCTTTGTCTCCCTCCTGCTGTGCTCCTCCAAGCACCAGACCATTGCCTCACCCCAAGCTCAAATCTCCAATGGGATTGTCATCAGCCCAAGGACCGGGCAGGCGTCCACACACCCTACGCAGCCCAGGGCTCAGCACAGAGTGGGGAGGGCGGCCAACACCCGGTGTGCCGATGGCCGATGGCCGTGGAGGCTGTTACCTCCTCGCCGCTCTGCTCGGAGCTGGTCGTCCCAGACCAGTGAGCCTTTCTGCGGGTCCCCGAAGGGAGGAGGTATGTGCCTGGTGGAGGGTGAATTTAAAGAGGCATCATCCCCCATCCCATCTATCACCATCTGCAGGAAATCTTTGCTCCTCCAGAGCCGCTCGGCTAGGCTCGCTGGGAGGCTCAGCCTGGGGAGGCTCTGTAAATCGAAGCGTCTGCGTCCCAGGCACCCCCCGCCACCCCCCGCCGTGCCATGTCTTACTGTAGGGCCTGCAGACAACATCTGTTCTGGCATTTGTGGGATCAGTTTGATAAGTGAAGTGTGAGAAGGATTTTGAAGGGGACGAGGCAGGACACAAGCTCTGCTTTTCTCCCTGCCCTTCCCCTGCCCAAACTCGGCCTCTGTGGTTGTGTGCAGAAGGGGTGGGAGGAGAGCCCTCCCCACACATTCTTGTGGGGCCCCCCAGAACCCAGACAGGGCCCAAGGGGCACGCAGGCCACAGACTCGAAGGCCCTTCTGCTGGGTCCCTCCGCAGCCGCCACTGGGCCATGAGTGTATCTGGGAGGCTGCGTTTGGTCTGTGACACACCAGGGACCCATCTCATCCGTGGACGCAGGCCCTAGCCCACCTGCACTGACAAGTCCCTACACACTGGGGGCTTAAAACAATGGAAAGTTGTTCTCTCAAGGTCTGGAGGCCAGAAGTCCTGACTTAGTACTACTGAGTTGAAATCAAGTGTCCACAGGGCCACACTCCCTGTGGAGACTCCAGGGGAGGGTCCTTCCTGCCTCTTCCAGCAGCTGGGGGGCCCCAGGCGTCCCTTGGCTTGTGGCTGCATCACCCCAGTCTCTGCCTCCATCTTCGCACGGCCTCCTCCTCTGTGTCTGTCAAATCAACTCTATCTCCCACTTATAAGCATATCGGTGATACATTCGGTTACCCAGGATAATCTCAGGATCCTTAACAATCGCATCTACAAAGACCCTTTCCCCATCCAAGGTCACATTTTTAGGTTCCTGGGATTAGGACCTGGTATCTTTGGGGGACATTATTCAGCCCATGACACCAGTAAAGTGCTCATTAGCTCCAGGGCGGTGGCCTGGGCCCAGGGCCCCTCTGTGCTTGTTGGCGGCATCAGTTGTGTACTCTTTTGGCTTGGGGGAGGCAACCTCAGTGACTACAGAAAGTGGGATTTTGAGCCACAACTAAAACCTTAGCTTGCTTGGAAATCAACATGGGAAATTAATTCAAAGGGAGGGTCCCAAACAATGACTCAGTGCAGAAACCTCCTAACAGGGGTCATCTAGCTGCTGCTCGCACACCTCCCCAATGGGGAACTCACCACCGCACGAGGTACTCAGTCCATCTTTTTCTGCTCGCACCACCCCTCCCCTACACCTGTAATGATGTGCATGAAGACTGCGCCCTGCGGAGTGGGCTAGACACTCCACTTGTGGAGGAGGCCAGCTGGTTTGAGAAAATGTTTGGGAAAGCCGGCTCAGCGTGGGGAACAGGCCAGCTCCCGGCTGGGGCCCATGCTGCAGGCTGAGGCAGGCTGGAACCAGGCTGACCGGCAGGGGGCAGGAAGAGGAGAGTGGGGACCTCCCCCGACAGGGCCTGGAGAGAGCCTTGGGAGATGTTCTGATGGGGCTCTGAGCCATGTGCCCAGTGTCACCCCCCTTCCTGTGACAAGACCCCCATCTTCAGTCCATCACAGAAGTCACCATATGGCAGCGTGGCTGGATTCCTCACGCGAGGTCCCGTCTCTCCGCAGCCTGGGGGCCTGGTCTGAGCTCTGTGGAGGTACCTGGCAGGGATCACATCCCCACATCTTGGCTTTCACCACCCACTTCTCCACACGCCCCCTCCTTGGAGTGAGCCCCCCTGGGTCTGGCCTGAGCCTCTTTGGCGGGGGACAGGCAGGGAGAGGGACACCTTAGTGGGCAAGGCAGCCAGATTGCTGAACTCCCAGGCCTGTCAAACCTGGCAGCTCGTCCCTCCGCTCCACACAACACCCTAAACTTGTGCTACTGAAGAGAGTTGGGGGCAGCTTTTCTGAACGGTCCACGCCTGAGAGGGGTGGGGGGTGGGGAACCTCACTGGTGGTTCCAGCCCTGCCTGAAACCCTCGGTTAGATGCCTCTGTCTGTGTAGGTCCCCCTTACACTGACGACAGCCCGGAAACCTGTGCCCCGCCACACTGCCCTCTGCTCCTTTGCCCCTTGGCTGAGCCCCTTAAGGGGGAGGTCCTGCAACAGGCCGGGTCTCTGGCTTCATTCAGGCCCGCATGGCCCACGTGGACCACCACATGGACCTTATGCTTATTAGCGATGGATGAGGTTTCTCTTTGCACTCAGCAGCCTATTCTGAGCACCCCAAAGGACTAATTTGGCCAAGGTCATGGGGTGGGGGCCATGATCTGCTGTCCTGTGTCATAACGAAGGTGAAAAACATTGGAAGCAGTTTGCAAGGTGGGGCCTGGTGCTCAGTCCACAGTGCCCCCGACTCACAGCACGGACACGGCGGTTACAGACACCAGCTTTAAAATAACTCCTGGATAAATGTGTCCAAAAACACTTGGTGTCCAAACCACCCTGCATTACGCTCTTGGGACCAGGGGTGGACGTGCTAAAACAAAGCAGCTTCTCGGACCTGAATCTATAAAGAAACCAGATTTTGCTGGAAGTTTCTTGCTTTAGGTGAGAGCGGCGTGGGAGTGGTCGTCTAAGGCTCATGTATTCTGAGGCTTAAGAAAGCAGAAGCAGTGTGGGCCCGGGTGGCCGGGCTGTCCCAAGAGTGCCACTGTGAGGACACTTCTGGAACTGACTGGAAGTATCAACAACACCCTTCTGGGGCAGAGATATGGAAATGCGTGTTTTCCCCCTTAAAACTCGCCTGCGTCCCCACACCCCACAACATTTCTATGACAAACATGGTGTCTTAAAATGAAGCCTCCGGTGTGGTTTGGGCCTACCATGGGACAGAATGGAAGGGAGGTTTAAGAATGCCTCTTCCCCATCCCCCAAAACGCTTGTTAGACCAGCCTGTCCCCGGAGAGTGGGGTCTGAGACGGACAGTGGTGACTCAGGCAGACCCGCGGCCCGGCCACACTGCCGTCCACGCAGTCCACTCGGCCCTCCCCGGCCGGGGCCTATTTCATCCTCACCCCACGGCCTGTGGACTCGGGCTTGGAGAAATGCAGGCTCTTCGTGTATTCACTCAGCCATTCATTCAACAACCATTGACGCGATGAGCCCACACGGGAAGACAGGACGGACAGGTGTCCACCTTTCGTGGTCTAATTTCACCAGAATGAAGGCTCCCTAGAGAAGCCTGGGGCGAGGGAGGGGACCTGAGCCCCACATCTCCCTCTGCTTTGGGGTCCCACACAGCTGGGGAGGAGGAGGGCTCCCCAGCCCAGAGGAGCTAAAGCAGGCTGTAGAATCCACCAAGGATGGTATTATTGCCAGTCAGGCCTGAGTCAGGTCCAGCAGCCTGGAGAATCCAGCCAAGGCTAGGCTTCACGTGTTCTGTTGTTTCTGGGCCTGTAATTAGTGCAGAATGCCAGCAGGGGCCAGTGCCCAGCCTGGCCTCTCACATGGACATCTAGGTGGAAATTAGCTCAGTTTCCATTTACTCCTCTTAAAGCAAGAAACAAAGGTAGAGGCTAGAGGACTAAAATGTTTTCTCACCAGGGCCTAACTAGCCAGGAGTCATTTCTGGGCTGCTGGAGCACCAGCTTCCTGAACTCCACTCTTTCCCTTTCCCATGTAAGGGGAGCATTACTTAATGAAATGGCAGTCGAGAAGGCAGGGGCTGGAGGAGGCTCAGAATCAGCAAATGTCAGAGGTGTGGGGCCCCTGAGACTTCAGTTCAACAGTGTCCCTTTAAAGGAGGGGAAAATGGATCAGGGAGGGTCAGGGGGTGATCTGCCAGCGCCCTTGGAGGGCAGACTCCCTGCCCTGGCTTTAAAGCACCCACTCACTCCCAGTGGACAGCTGTGGGCGGACACCGGGCAGCTGACGCCTGACTGAATTCAACTTTAAAATATAACTCCCAGACGGGGAGATCAGATCTCAGCGTCGCCTGTGCCTCCTGGTCTCCGCGGAGGGGGCGGGGCTTCCACCTGGGGAGCAGCTCCTTGGGAGAAGTCTGCAGGGACGACCTTTGCTGCTTCTTCATTTAATGCCCCAGGACAGCACCAAGAGCTAGGTGTCCTGAGGGGTGCGTTGAGCTCCAGGGGTCACAGCCCCGCACAGCATCGCGAGGCCAACTCAGTGTCAAAGCAACTCTGCCCGGCCCGCACGTGGGGTCTGTCCTGGTGGGAGACGCTGATGCCATGAGCTGCCAGTCTGTGGCCTCAGGGAACCCCAGGTTGGTAAACTCCACATCCAATTGCCTCTTTAAACCTCAGTTCTCTCAACGGAAAAGTGGACACGACAACAGGAGCGACCTAGCCAGGCTATCCTGAAAGCGACAGTGTCCAGTGCAGGAGGGGACCTGAGCCCTCAGGAGGAGCAAAGACCATGACCATCACCGTCCCCCCACCGCCCCCTCCCCTCGCAGCCGACGGGCGCCAGCCAGACCTGCGCATCTCTGACGCGAACCCCTGCTTCCCACAGCTCACTGTGGACCCCGCCAGGCAGCACTGCGGCGTTCAGGACATCAATTTTATCCCAACAGCTGAAAGGTCGATTCCCAGTGAGAGAAGGCCATCCCTTTCCTACTCCCAGAAGGAGAGAGGGCAGCAGAAACCCCGGGGCCGCTGGGCCTTCGGACGCGGAGATGTGTGTCCCGCCTCGCTCCGTGAAGCCAGCAAGAACCCAATGCGCCAGGGTGCGCGCTGTGCCGCCCCACCTTGCGGGATCTTTCCTGCGCCTTCTCTTGGCCAGGTTGACGCGAAATGATCCAAGCCAATAGCCCTCTCCAGAAAGCAGGTGCAGAGCCGGCACGATCTGGGTGAAGGATGGGTCAGTGAACTCCCATTCACCCAGCACCAGGTCCTCCCCAGCCCCTCAGTCTGAGTCCCTGTGGCAGCCCTACTCCCGTGGCGACGAGGAAAACTGTGCCCCAGAGAGGAGCTGATCACCCCACAGTGGAGGCCAAACCTCACAG